GTGGAATTATCACACCAACTATTTAAAGTTTCTGTGATTAGTATACTTAAAACTCTGATGGAAAAAGTGGACAACATGCAGGGATAGGTAATATAATCAAAGGGTTGGAAACTAAAAGAACAAAAAGGAAATGCTAGAACCAAAACACTAACAGAAATGAAGACAGTAGATTAAACATGGCTGATGAAATGATCAGTGAACATGGAGATGTCACTAGGAACTTTCAAAGCTGAAAATCAAAGAGAAAGAATGAAAATAAAGAAAAAATCTAAGAGCTATGGGACAATTACAAAAGGTGTAACATGTAAATTGGAAATAACAGAGGAAGAAAAAAAAGGAACTGAGGGAATATTCAATAATGAGTGAGAATTTTCCAACATTAGTGACAAACATAAGCCACACATCCAGGAAGCTTAGAGAACACCAAGTAGGAGACACACCAAAATCCCACACCTAGGTCTATCATATTCAAACTACAGAAAAATCTAAGATAAAGAGAAAATCTTGAAAAAAGCCAGTAGGGATTGGGGGGAACAACTTACCCATAGATAAATAAGGAAAATAATTACATTGAATTTCTCTTAAAAAACTATTCAAGCAGAAGAGAGTGGGGTGAAATATTTTAAAAGGTTGAAAAGAAGAACAGTCTAGAATTCTGTATCCAGCAAAATTATCTTTTAATAGTGAAGGTGAGATAAAGACTCTTAAGTAAACAAAATTGAGGGAGTTCGTCATTAGTAGACCTGTCTTGTGAAACATGTTAAAAGAAGCTCTTCAGGGAGAAGAAACATGGTATGGGGTTGAATCTCAGATCTATGTAAAGAAAGGAAGGTAGTTAGAGAAGGAATAAGTAATGGTCTAATAATATCTTGTATTTTTCTTACTCTTACTGATGTAACAGCAGTTCAAGTGCATTTTGTGATTATAGCTAATGGATAAATGAGATTAATGACTGCAGTGTTATAAGGGATGAAAGAGAACAGGTGAGGATACTCTTTGTATTAGTTCATTCTCACACTGCTAATAAAGACAAACCCAAGACTGGGTAATTTATAAAGGAAAGAGGTTTAATTGACTCACAGTTCATCATGACTGGGGAGGCCTCAGGAAACTTACAATTATGGCAGAAGGGGAAGAGAACAACACTTCACATGGCACTTCTTTACATGGCTGCAGCAAGGAGAAGTGCTGAGCAAAAGGGGGAAAAGACATTTATAAAACCATCAGCTCTCATGAGAACTCACTATCATGAGAGCATGAGGGTAACCATCCCATAATTAAATTACCTCCCACTGGGTCCCTCCTATGACACAAGGGGATTACAGGAACTACAGTTCAAGATGAGATTTGTGTGGGAACACAGCCGAACTGTATCACTCTGTTATAAAGTACCTACATATACTACCTGTGAAGCAATATTTAGTGCTGCTTGAAAGTGGTCTTGGATTAGTTTACACTGTGCGTTGCAAACTCTAGGACAACATTTGAATTTCTTTCAAAAATTTTTTGAAAGTATATGAGGAGATGTAATCCCAGCACTTTGGGAGGCTAAGGCAGGTGGATCACGAGGTCAAGAGATCCAGACCATCCTGGCCAACATGGTGAAACCCTGTCTCTACTAAAAATAAAAAAAAAATTAGCTGGGCCTAGTGGCGAGTGTCTGTAGTCCCGGCTACTTGGGAGGCTGAGGCAGGAGGATCTCTTGAGCTCAGGAGTTCAAGGTTGCAGAGGTTAAATGTATATACTGCATCCTGAAGGAGCACACACATACCCTGCAGGGTATCATCTCCAGCTGATGAGCATTTTAGTCATCTCAGGCTGCTGTAGCAAATTACCACAGACTGGGTGGCTTAACAACAATTTCTTTCCCACAGTTCTTGAGGCTGGGAAGTCCAAGAGCAAGGTGTTGGTAGATCAGGTGTCTGCTAAGAGCCCACTGCCTTCATAGATGGCCTTCCTGTGACCTCACATGGTAGAAGGGGCAAGGGAGCTCTCTGGAGCCTTTGTTATAAAAGCACTAATCCCATTTATGAGGACTCCATCCTCATGCCCTAATAGCCTTCCAAAGATTCCATCTCTAAATACCATCACATTGGGGATTAGTAACTTAGCCAGGGTTTGAAGAAGTCATTCCAGTCTTCTGTTATGAAAGCATCTTTCGGGTGATGGCACATGGGCTCAATGTTGCCCCTCCTTTGCTTTGAAATGGGGCCAATGGTTAAGAAAATATAAATGGGATCCCAGGTCAGTCTATGAGATACTTACTTTATGAGCCCTTTAATAGGTGTACTAGTAGAGGAGCTACAAGTAGAAAAAGAAGCTGATACCTCAAATATTTGTCAGTCCCAAGGATGATCAATTACTATAGGATGGAAGGGGTCTGCTGTAATCAGTTTGATACCCGCTGGCAAGCTAGTGACTCTTTGGGGTGTGGTACTATACTAAGAGCTCAGCATTGGTTTCTGTTACTAGCTAGGTCAGATATGTGGCAGCAGCCATGGCTAAATCAGCTTTGGTGAGAGGGAGTACAAGTTGTCAAAAAAGTACCTTTCCTTGGCTCCAAGTCAGCAAAGAATACATGCATATTCATACTTCTAGCCATTTTTCCTACACCTAGAGTTGATGACAAAGTTTACTGTTGAAAAATACGCACACTGAAAGGACATCTCACCGCTGTCAGGTGTAGCCCTCAGAAAATTGTAGGATAGCCCCAGTTCATTATCTAACCCTCACTACTGTGTTGAACTCATCCATCCATGAGTTCAGCACAATAGTGAGGGTTATATAAAATAGCCCTGGGTCTTTCCCTTCTCCATCAACTGTCACAGGAAACCCCTACAGGCCATACGTGTGAATATGAGGTAGGGGCGAGGCAACAGTCATAGGTAACATGGTCTGGGCCACCTCTGTGTAATGCACTCTGTGGACAGGGATCAGTTCTGTGCCAGTCCATTTTCACACTGCTGATAAAAACATACCTGAGACTGGGCAATTTACAAGAAAAAGAGGTTTAACATGGCTGGGGAGGACACACAATCATGGCAGAAGATGAAAGACACGTGTTACATGGTGGGAGATGAGAAGAGAGCTTGTGCAGGGAAACTTTATAAAACCATACAGATCACGCGAGACTTACTCTCAAGAGAATAGCATCCGTGAGACCCACCCCATGATTCAATTATCTCCCACTTGGTCCCTCCCTCAACATGAGGGAATTGTGGGAGTTACAATTCAAGATGAGATTTTGGTGGGGATACAGCTAAACCATACCAAGTTCTTTTCTGTTTTTGTTTTTACACTTTTATTTTTTTAGTTATTTATTTTTGAGGCAGTCTCACTCTGTAACCCAGACTGGAGTGCAGTAGTGCGATCTCAGTTCACTGCAACCTCTGCCTCCCAGGTTCAAGCTATTGTCATATCTCAGCCTCCCAAGTAGCTGGGATTACAGGAACATGCTACTTTGCCTGGCTAAGTTTTGTATTTTTTAGTAGAGACGAGGTTTTGTCCTGTTGCCCATGCTTGTCTCTAAATCCTGGCCACAAGCAATCCTCCTGCCTCAGCCTCCAAAAGTGCTGGGATCACAATGAGCCACGGCACCCCCGCCCCCCCCTGCTTTTTTTTAGATGGAGTTTTACTCTTGTTGCCCAGGCTGGAGTGCAATGGCACAATCTTGGCTCACTGCAACCTCCACCACTTGGGTTCAAGCTATTCTCCTGCCTCAGCCTCCCGAGTAACTGGCATTACAGGCATTCACTACCATGCCCAGCTAATTTTTGTACTTTTTTTTTTTTTTTTTAAAGAAAATAACACAGAGGTTTATTATTCTCAACACCAGCAGCAGTGGTCTCCACAGGACAGGGGAGTGAGTTCTGTTGACTGATAGGGATAGATGGCTCCTACTTGCCAGTGATGAGTGGGTTGCAGGACCACAGTGACTGAGTCCCCGTGCAGGAACGTCTTGGAGTTGTAGCAGTCTTTGTTGACTGGCTTGGACTTCTTGCCCTTGCCGTTCTTGGGTACCTCAGTCCACATCTCCACATTCTCCGGCACCATGTTGCAGTGCCTATCAAAGGCCTTCATGCGGCCCAGGAGTTTCTTATTGTTACAGCAGTTGATGAGCACTTGGGTGTTCTTGACGGACTGAGTGAGCACAGAAAGTGGACCCATGTTAAATTCTTCCTCCTCTCGCTTCTGCAACTCCTCCAGGGTCATCTCACTCTTGGGCTTGTTGAGGAGTCTCATGTTGGTCACTAAGCTCTCGGTTCACTCCCATTTCCTCCGTGTTGCTGCTGCCTCAAATTTTGTACTTTTAGTAGAGTCGGGGTTTCACCATGTTGGCCAGGCTGGTCTCTAACTCCTGACCTCAGGTGATCCCACCTTGGCCTCCCAAAATGCTAGGATTATAGGCATGAGCCACCTAGCCTGGCCCCCTTTTTTAAATATAGGGTCTCATTCTGTTGCCCAGGCCAGAGTTTAATGGTGTGATCATGGCTCACTGCAGCCTTGCCCTCCTGGGCTCTAGTGATCATCCCATCTCAGCCTCCCAATTAAATGGAACTACAGGCATATGTCACCACACCCAGCTTGTTTTATTTGTTGTAGAGACAGGATTTCACCATGTTGGCCAAGCTGGTGAAAATGTATACATTTACATATGTGTGTATATATACGTTTATATATGTGCATTTATACACACATTATAGAATGGCAAAATCTAATTAACATGCATTGCTTCACTTAGATAATATTTTGTGGTGAGAACACCTTAGCATTTGTCGAGAAGACAATATATTATTAATTATAGTCATGTTTTACAGTGAATCTTTCTTTTTTGAGACAAAGTCTCACTTTGTTGCTCAGGCTGGAGTGCAGTGGCACGATCTTGGCTCGCTACAATCTTTTCCTTCTAGGTTCAACTGATTCTCTTGCCTCAGCCTCCTGAGTAACTTGGCTTACAGGTGCCCACCACAACACCTGGCTAATTTTTGTATTTTTTATAGAGACAGGTTTCACCGTGTTGGTTAGTCTGGTCTCGAACTCCTGACCTCAAGCAACCCACCCGCCTCAGCCTCCGGAAGTATTGGAAGTACAGGCGTAAACTACTGCACCTGGCCACAATCAATCTCTTGAACTTACTCTAACAAACTAAAGGAAATTTTATATCGTTTGACCAACATCTCCCCAACCACCTCCCAACCCCCACTGCAGCCTCTGGTGATTACTGTTCTATTCTCTCCTTTATGAATTCAGCTTTTTAGATTCTGCATGTGGTATTTGTCATTTACTTAATGTCCTCCTGAATGTATATTTTCATCATACAGTAAATTGCTGCTTCATCTATGAGCCCTATCGTAAGGCTGGATGCCTCCGACAATACCAGTGCATGATTGGCAGCGTTATTGCAGAGTCACTTCTTATCTTGGTCAGACACTAAGAATGCCAGTAGCATTCCTGGAATTGCTCTTCAAATGGAGAAGTTTTTAGCATTTGAGGAGAGAACTAGCCATAGAAACTTAGGAGTTTGCACTGTAGCTCTCCCTATTGTGGTTTCCAGAGATTCCAGACAGCATTCTTAACTAACAAAACCACTGGATCTGACATCTTCTATGGCTCAACTGGTAGGGTGGCTCACAGCATAGCCTGATCCTTTCTGAAAGAGTCCTCTTTGCCTCATAACATAGTAAATGGGATGGGACTATATTGCCAGGAGTGGTACACGCAGCCTCCAAAGTCCAAACCAGCCTTTCAGTCAGTCACCCTGCCTCTTTCTTAGTAGTAATGGCGCAGGTGCATTGACTTGTCCTTTGCCTTGGATGGGTGTTTCATCAGGTCTCAGAACCCTGTATCTCTGGAGGCTTCACTGATGTGCTAAGCCACTGACTATATTTAACCGCTATTCCCCACCCTCTGCTGTTCTTGTTTCTGACCATAGCATCCAGAGTACTTGCCGCTTGCTGTATCTCAGATTGATATAATGTCATTAGTAGGTGGATCCTGATACTCTGCAAAATTGCATGATAATCAGGGTCCTTGAGGGATATGGTGTGATGGAGAAAAGGAGAGTTAACATAGTCATGGGACAAGACAATAAATATGTATTGCTGTTCTCCCAAGTGAGGTAGTGTTGATCTTTTTCAGTTACATAAGCAATGTCCTTGCTGGCTACTGCCTATCTCACTCAGAAGCATAGCAATCTGTGAGCCAACGAGCCATCACCTCAGAGGCCTGGATTCGAGGCCCTGTATGTAGTATACTGGTATTTCTACCCACTTTGCTTTTGACTGTTAGTGTTGCCTAATAGAATGGTATCATCTCTGCTGGCATTTGGGAGGCAAGTTCCACGCGCATCTTATGTCACTGAATTGTTGCCGATAGAAGACAGTCACCTTACTTGTGCACTCCTTATCACTCTCGTGTCCTCTGGGCCCTGTGGTAACATGTCAGTCAGGAGTCCTCTACCCTTATGTAATAAAACCATTCTAAAATGTCCATGACTAGCGCCATCTGACCCTCACCTCAATATCGTCCTCAATTTCATTTTTTTAGGGTTACTTTAGCCAGTGAATTGATTTTCATCTGAAGGGCCTTTACAATTTAACTTGTTTTATTATTTGTTCCAAAGTAAGAAATAAATAATGGACCACACATTCTGGTAATTTTTAGCCATGGTTTTATTCTTGTAACATATTTATTCATGATTAAAGGTATAAATATAGAAAATTGTCTTCTCTGCGATTTGAAGATTGATGTTGATTGATGTCTCTGCGTGTACTTAGTTTTCTGATTATGTAATATGTACAAATGTTGCAGTCTTTACCTTTGGGCATATGACTGTATATCGGACATGAAATATCTGGTAATCTCAATTTAGAATCTGTGAGGGGAAAATTCTAGCCAAGATCCAGATTGTTCAGTAACTTTTTTTTTTTGAGATGGAGTCTCACTCTGTTACCCAGGTTAAAGTGTTGTGGTGTGATCTCAGCTCACTGCAGCCTCCTCCTAGGTTCAAGCAATTCTCCTGCCTAAGCCTCCTGAGTAGCTGAGATTACATGTGTGTGCCATCATGTCTGGCTAATTTTTGTATATTTAGTAGAGACGAGGTTTCACCATGTTGGCCAGGCTGGTCTCCAACTTCTGGCCTCAGGTCATCTGCCTGCCTCAGCCTCCCAAAGTGCTGGGATTACAGGTGTGGGCCACAGTGCCCAGCCTATGTAGTTACAATTTCATATGATTAGTTCACAGGTATTTTAAGGTTTAGATTACATTGTCGTCATCATTAGTGTTAGCTGTAGAACTATAGCTAAGAAATATGAAGTTTTTTGAAAGTATTGTGTATTAGTTATGTATTAAAATTTTTTCTGCCATGTTTTGACATCTTGCTGGCTTGTGAGAGACTGCCCCTCCCAGGATTAGCCATTTCCTACACGTGGCAAAGGGCTCAGCCTGGAGCGTATCTTTGATTTGCAAACCAACAATCCCAAGGCTCAATCACTTCTTTATCTAACTCTCCCATTTCAAGCCAGTTGTCTCCTATACTAGAGCATCCCAGGGTCAGGTGCCAAATGATTAGAGACCACCCCTAGAGCCTGCTGAAGTTATTCAGACTAGCCCAACTTAAATTGTTCACCGTGACCTGTGTTGCCTTTTTCTCAGAAACCCAGTAAAGGCTGTAGCCTGGGCTTTTCCCTGGACCTTGCTTCTGCCTCCTGACTGACACTGGTGCTTCATGGCCCTGGTGTGGCCCATGGTGACCCCTGTCTGGAGACCTGTGAGTGTTAAGCCTTGTTCTCATTTCTTCCTGTAGCTGCACCAGCTTTCCACACCATGTCCAACCAACATTTGCATTCTTAGAACACATAGAAAGTTTTCCTTTTTTTTTGAGATGAAATCTCACTCTGTTGCCAGGCTTGGAGTACAGTGGTGCAATCTTGGCTCACTGTAACCTCCGCCTCCTGGGTTCAAGCAATTCTCCTGCCTCAGCCTCCCGAGTAGCTGGGACTACAGGTGTGCACCACCATGCCCAGCTAATTTTTGTATTTTTAGTAGAGGCGGGGTTTCACCATGTTGGTGAGGGTGTTCTTGATCTCCTGACCTTGTGATCCACCTGCCTTGGCTTCTCAGAGTGCTGGCCTGAACCACTGTGCCCAGCCTTTTGTTTTTTCTTAAAGACAGCCTTGCTCTATTGCCCAGGCTGGAGTGCAGTGGCATGACCTCAGCTTACTGCAACCTCTGCCACCCAGGTTCAATGTGATTCTTCTGCCTCAGCTTCTCAAGTAGATGGGATTATGGGTGTCCACCATCACACCTAGCTAATTTTTGTATTTTTTTTTTTTTTTTTTGAGACAGAGTCTCACTCTGTTTTTGCCCAGGCTGGAGTGCAATGGCACAATCTCAGCTCACTGCAACCTCTACCTCCCAGGTTCAAGCAGTTCTCCTGCCTCAGCTTCTCGAATAGCTGGGATTATAGGCACCTGCCACCATGCCTGGCCAGTTTTTGTATTTTTTTTTAATAGAGGTGGGATTTTCACTATGCTGGCCAGGCTGGTCTCAAACTCCCAACATCAGGCAGTCCACCCATCTCAGCCTCCCAAACTGCTGGGATTACAGACGTGAGCCACCGCCCCTAATTTTTGTATTTTTAGTAGAGATGGGGTTTCTACTAAAGACCAGCCGGTCAGACTTGTCTTGAACACCTGACCTCGAGTGATACACCCACCTTGACCTCCCAAAGTGCTGGGATTACAGGTGTGAGCCACCATGCCCAGCCTGAGCCACCACACATGTCTGAAAGTTTTGAATCTGAAGCAATTCACTTATTTTGTTGTCTTAGAGCTTTGAGGACAATCTAGGTGATGAAACTTGTTTTTAACGAGAATATCATATAGCTTAAGTGTTTCACTGGGAAATGGATTCTTAAGGTTGGAAACAAAATTTTAAAAAACTTTTGAATCAAAATATTATTTGACAAGAGAAAGTATCATCAAAACAGAATTTATATAAACTATTTAAAAAGCATTAATGCCTATAGTCCCAGCTACTTGGGAAGCTGAGGCAGGAGAATCGCTTGAACCCAGGAAGCAGAGGTTGCAGTTAGCCGAGATAGTGCACTGTACTCCAGCCTGGTGACAAAGCAAGACTCCATTTAAAAAAAAAAAAATTTATGCTTTCAAATAGCTAAATGAACTCGCTTGTAAATGTCTAAATGTTCTATGAGGGAGTGTCCCAAGCCATCTGTAAAACGTTAGGAAGAGGCAAGATGTGGTCGCCTGTTCAATCTCTTGGGTAAAATCTTCATTTTAAAAAATATGGACAAGTTTTTCAGGTTATTAGAGTTTATTCTTTGCTATGTTAAGTTTCAAGGTCTGGATATAGTTTTGGGTGACAACTTGCAGTATAAGACAATCCAGTTTAGCCAACACTGTATCTCTTTAATGGGGACAGATTGTTATTTTTAGGAAAGTCCTTTTTATTTTTTATTTATTTATTTTTTGAGATGGAGTTTCACTCTTGTCTCCCAGGCTGGAGTGCAATGGCGCCATATCAGCTCACTGCAACCGCTGCCTGGGTTCAAGTGATTCTCCTGCCTCAGCCTCCCGAGTAGCTGGAATTACAGGTGCCCACCACCATGCCCAATTAATTTTTGTACTTTTAGTAGAGACGGGGTTTCAACATATTGGCCAGACTGGTCAAACTTCTGATCTCAAGTGATTCATAAGACTCGGTCTCCCAAAGTGCTGGGATTACAGGCCTGAGCCACCATGCCTGGCCTGGATAAGTCCTTTTTGAAATTAAACAACTGTCATTTTAAATGATGGCAAACTTCTAAGGGCCACTTAGACAGCATAACTATTGCAAAAGAGACTAACCATTCAATTTCTTAAACAAAAAGCTTTGATTTATTGCTTACTCTGTTTCATTCTGAAATACTGAAAGTACTAGGATTACTAGGATGAGCCACTAAAAACTTAATGGCTTAAAGCAGTGACTGATGTATTACTTCTCTATGTGTACTGGGAATTCTGCTTCAGTTGGCAGTGGCTGGAGTTTCATCTGGGTCGCCAGTATGTTTAGCAGCAGAGGGGCTGGGCTGGAGGAGCTAATCGAGCTTCACAGCTGCCACACTTCCTAAAGGATAGGGCTGGAACCTCTTCATTTGTACTAGGCAAAAACAAGTCTCATGCCAGCCCAGATTTAAAGATGGAAAAAAAAAATCTCCCTCTTGTGACCAGAGTGGCAGGCAGGAAGGAACTGATAGTGTATCTGTGGCCTTCGCTAACTGTACTTGTAAATCACAGCCAAAGTATGAGACGATACAGAGCTTTAGAAAATATGGCATTCAGGGATTGGCTGGCTTTTGAAAGCAAGAGTGTTGAGGGACTGACTTTCTTTTGGTGGTAAAAGCGTGCATGGTCACTGGCCTGAGCCAACCATTTAAGTTTCCAAAGAGTGATCAGAGTGAAGGCTGGTGCCAACTGCCTTTCAGAAATATACAGCTGTCAGATTGGGTGACCTTCATAAGAATGTGTACTGAGGAGAAATTGTCTGATTAATTGCTTTCAATGTCTGATTACTTGTCTCTGATCAATTTTTGTGGTTGCCATTTCATGGCTTGAGATTATGGCCAAGAAACTGTCTCAGGCATGAATTTGGAGAACAGGAATAGTCTCATCATTAGAGTATTAAAGTATTCTTGTTAGTACAGGCTTTATTCCTTTTTTTTTTTTTTTAGACAGAGTCTTGCTCTGTCATGCAGACTGGACTGCAGTGGCATGATCTTGGCTAACTGTAACCTCTGTCTCCTGGGCTCAAGTGATTCTCCTGCCATGGCCTCCTGTGTAGCTGTTTCTATCACACCCAGCTAATTTTGTCTTTTTAGGAGAGAGAGGGTTTCACCATGTTGGCCAAGCTGGTCCCAAACTCCTGACCTCAAGTGATCTGGCTGCATCAGCCTCCCAAAGTACTGGGATTACTAGCATGAGCCACTGCACACAGCTGGCTTTATTCTTGATAACAGATTTGTCAGTTATTGGACTGTCCCGAGAAAGTATTCATTTTTACTTAATTTTTGATTCAGAAGCCTGAGGAATTTAGAAAAAGAACCACCTTAAAGGCTTATCTATTGATAGATGTTACCTCAAACCTCCATCAAGATGGCAATGCTCATGGCAGAGCTGAGTAGAATGAAATACTGGTAAAAATATGTTTCCATAAAGTATTCAGAAGTTATAACATGTAAATACAAAGTATACCTTCTTCAGATACAAGTAATCACTAAATTATCATATTAGACATGATTAAGAAGCTGAACATTAGCCAGGTGTGGTGGCTCATGCTTGTAATCCTAGCACTTTGGGAGGCTGAGGCAGGCAGACTGCTCGAGCCCAGGAGTTCAAGACCAGCCTAGGTAACATGGGGAGACCCCATCTCTGACAAAAAAAAGAAAAGCAAAAATTAGCCTGATGTGGTGTTACGTGCCTGTAGTTCCAGCTACTTGAGAGGCTGAGTGGAAGAATTGCCTGAGCCTGGGAAGCAGAAGTTGCAGTGAGCCAAGATGATGTCCCTGCACTCCAGCCTGGGTGACAGAGCAAGACCCTGCTGCCACACACACACAAAAAGAAGCTGAACATGAATGAAAGTCTCTTTATTAGGAAGGGGAGGTAAGATGTTGGCAGGGTTTAGATTGTAGCAGCATATGACAATTATATGCAGTACAGGCGATAGTAACGTAGCTGATGGAATTGGGTATTTTAAGTTTTTTGTTATTGGGTTACATTAGCCAAATATAACTTACCAATGGTATCTTACTGGGATAGTAAGCAAATTATAAAATGATATAGGGAAAAACTGGCCATTGATTTGGGAGAAAATAAAGAAATACTGTAGGGAGGGATCAGTGAACAATTCAGTTTAATTTAGACAATGTTTATTTCATATATTTACTGCTACATTCCTTCAAGAAATTTTTCATTCTGATGTTATGACAAGCAAGTAAAAAACACGTTTCTTTGAAAAAATACTTCTAAGCTCAGGCTTTTAACATATAAATATAATGCACAAAATAAATATACTGCAAAAAAACCACCCACCTACAAATTGCTTAATGCATCATTTTGAAACACGTAATGTTTATAAAAGCGTAACTCTACATTCTTGCATGTTCAGCGCTAAGTAACAGAAAACCTTACTTTGCAAAGTGCTAGATCTTAGGCTCAAAGAGCATATGGTGTCTGCCACAACTACTCAACCCTGCTGGGGTAGTGCGAAGACAGCCACAGGCCAAACATAAACAGATGTTTTTTGTTTGTATTTGTTTTTTCAAAAATTTATGGACACTGAAATTTGAATATATAATTTTCATGTGTCACAATATTCTTTGATTTTTTTCAACCATTTAGAAATATAAAACCATTCTTAGCTTGCAGGATACAAAAATGGGTAGTGGGCCACATCCGTCCGATGGACTGTCATTTATCAAACCCTGACTTAGTGTAATCAGGATCTGCTCTTGCCCCTAAATCACTTGTAGGAAAAGAAACAAACAACAACCAACCAAGTCAAGGCACTGGCACCAAGAAGGTGGAGGATGAATGTTGAGTAGCCAACCTTCTTTTTTTTTTTTCTTGCAGAGTAATTCACAAAATACAAATAATGAAGATAACCTTTAACATACAGCTGTTGTGTCTAAGACACTATCGTAAGTGCTTTGAATATGTTAACTCATGTAGAACTCAAAGCAATCCTAAGATGTTGTCACTATCACTACTCTTTTTGGAAAGGGAACTGAGGCACAGAGACATTAAGTAGCATGTTTCCATGCTGGAATCTGGGCCCAGGCAGCAGGAGTCCAGAGTCCACACCCTTAAGTATCCCACGTTGCTTTTATGAGGAAGAAAAAGTTAGTGATGGACTTTTAGGATTCTCAGACAAAATACAAATGCATATAGCTCTGCTTCCTGCTTACACATCAACAGTAAGATATATAATATTTCTTACATTGCACTATTTGTTTTCATTGTGTAGACTGTAATAAATATTACTGTTTTTAACTGTCTAAAACAGCTCAGGCTTTTGCTATATATATAAATAAATGTGTCCCTAATTCAAAACTTGGCTGGCAGTTGAAAATTTTACAAAAACAAGTAACACTTTCTATAGCCATTTACAAACACCAAGAAATAGGAGAAAAAGATGCCTTATAATTTAAAAGGAATATTACACTTACAATATAAATACAACAAGAGTCACTACTGAGACTTAATGTGTGACATTGTCATACACATAATAGTTACTGAACTAAGATTACATATTTCCCTATGTACAATTATGGATGGATTCCACATGCACAGTGAACATCCACAAGTTACATGTTATAGCACACTCACATACACAAAAAGCCCTCACATATACTAAAAGACATTTAATGTATGATTAATGATGTTGACTGATAATTTGTGCTTTTTAAAAGCTTCATATATGTAGACATTTGCAGGTTTCCTTTTAAATCTTGGCATCAGATCTGCAACATAACTTCTAGTATAACTGTTTCCCTCAGTACAAATTATTTGAATTTTTGTTGAAAACCTTCCAAATATTTAAAATATCTATCCAAGTAGCAGTAATCTGACATTGAATGAAACACCAATTCTTGATAAAGGCTTTTTATATCTGCTACCATCTATGCAGTTATCCCTTTGAATTCTCTAATATGTGAGCGCTAATTGTGTAAAGAGATTTCTAGATACTCAAGGAGCTTCTCACTTGTGAGCTTTTAGATGTCTACAGCTGGCTGCCCTGACAGAAAATGTCATGACATTCGTTTTACTTACAGGATTTCTCTCCTGTGTGATTTCTATGTTACAAAAGTATGACTTCTGAAAGGTTTCCTTTCTATTTTATAATTTGAATGGCTTCTGCTATCTATATTATCTAATATTTAGAAAAACCCACCACATAAAATTTTCTCCTAAATAAACGTACAGGATTTCTCTCTATATATTTGCTGATATACAGATAGAGGAAAGATTGTAGCTAAAAATTACCCTATGCTGATGCCATTCATAAGGTGTACCTCTTGCATGAAATATCTGATTGTTCTGAAAGGTGAATTCAGTCAGGAGAATTTCCCAACTCATCTTACTTCTCGGCCTTCCCCTTCTTTGTGTGTGTCTTCTGATGTGCAGTGAGTTGTGACTTCTGGATAAAGGTTTCCCCACACTCCTGACACTCATAGGGCTTCTCCCCTGTGTGTTTTCTCTGATGTATAATAAAATGTGACTTCTGAGAAAAGGACTTCCCACATTCCTTGCATTCATAGGGCTTCTCTCCTGTGTGAGTCCTTTGATGTAATCTGAGGACCGAATTCACAGAGAAAGATTTGCCACATTCTGTGCATTCATAGGGTTTCTCCCCTGTGTGTTTTCTCTGATGTTTAGTGAGGTCTGATTTATAGTAAAAGGTTTTCCCACATTTATTACATTCAAAGGGTTTCTCCCCTGTGTGAGTTCGCTGATGTACTGTGAGGGCTGACTTCTGGAAGAAGCATTTCCTACATTCCTTACATTCATAGGGTTTCTCTCCTGTGTGAGTTCTCTGATGTGTTTTGAGGTGTGAATTCCTAGAGAAGAATTTCCCACATTCCTTACATTTATAGGGTTTCTCCCCTGTATGTGTTCTCTGATGTACTGTGAGGTGTGACTTCTGGGAAAAGGCTTTGCCACACTCCTTACACTCATAGGGTTTCTCCCCTGTGTGTGTTTTCTGATGTACCATGAGATATGCCTTCACATAGAAGAACTTACCACATTCAGTACATTCAAAAGGTTTCTCCCCTGTGTGTGTTTTCTGATGTTCTATAAGATGTGGTTTCTGATAGAAGGATTTCTCGCACTGATTACATTCATAGGGTTTCTCTCCCACGTGGGTTCTCAGATGTCTACTGAGAGATGATAGGTGGTAAAATATTTTCTTACATTCTTTACACTCATAGGTTTTCTCTCGTGTGTGAACTTTTTGATGTCTTGTGAGGTCTTCAGTTTTAGAGAAAGATTTCTCACATTTATCACAGTCGTATGATTTGCCCTTTGAATGAGTATGCTGATGTACTATGAGGGCAGACTTCTGGCAGAAGAACTTCCCACATTCCTTACATTCGTAGGCTTTCTCTGTGGCATAAGTTTTCTGGTGTTTTGTGAGTTTTCCATTCCTATACAGAAAGTTCCACATTCATTAATGTGTAAAGCTTTTTAGGCTTTTCCCCCCGCCACTGGGCGTATTTTCCAAGTACATTTGAAGACTGATTTCTAGAAATGTTCCCATATTTATTAGATCCATAGGGTTTATCCACTGTGAGCATTCTCTGACCTACACTGTAGTTTAAACATTTGATCAGGTGAACCTGTATTTGCATACTATTCATAGGGTCTCTCAATTGAATGCATACTATTTTGTATAGTAAAACCTCCCTTTATTATTTAATTCAGAAGAGTCAAAAGACTACTTCAAAATTTCAATTTCCTGATCCTGCATGAGGTCTCTATAAAAAAGGGCATTCCCATTTGGATGATATTTCTCTGGGTTTACTTTGCAGTGTTAGTTTTCAATGTTTAGTATTAACTAGTGCCCTCCCATTTCTAGTAACCCCTTCAAGACTCTTGCTTACAAATCTTCTGTCTTAAACATTAATTCTTGAACTTGCCTTGAATTTCCAGCTTGGCTTTCCTGGTATCTTGCTTCTAGGTCGTGAATATTCCATAGGTCTTCTACGAGATAATAAAAAATTTAATACTTTATAAATACTAACACATTAATATTGTCATAGGGTTGATTCTTAGGCCTCAGGCCAATCTCTTGTAATGAAAGAACTCTCATATGCAAATTTCCTCTATCCCATAGTTTTGGAGAAAAAAAAAAGAAACTAAAACACTAAAAACTGCTGTCACACAAAGAAGAAGGAGCTTAGTTGTAGGCCCAGGTACTCTGACATTTTTACAAATATGACCTTAAGAGCTTGGAGGAGAAAGTTAAAACAGAAAACAAAGAATCAGAGGCAGAGAAAACAGGACATCTGAAGTGTTGCTGAATGGGAGTGTGGGCCCCTTAAAGACCATGAACAGTAAGTAGGATAAGAAAAACTACTGGAAAACAGTGTGCCCTGGAATTACATGGAAAAGAGTAAACTGGATGAAGGAGCTGAAGTGTAGGTCTTTATTCCCTCAAACCTAGATTACTGTGCTAGGATTCCTACTAGTTAGCAGACAGACTTCCACTTATTTCCTCTTCATCCGTCCACAACAATCTGGGTGTCAATACTAAAGTGACTTTCTCAGAACATCTGTATCCTCAGGCTTAGAGGAAGAGTCCTGTAGCTTGAGCTTTCACTCTCCATCTAGTTGGCTTTATTTTCAAGACAGGAAGACTGAGGACCACATATATCCAAAAGGAAGGATTTTCTTAAAACCAGCAGGGTAAGCCATCTGTACAAGGATGAATTCCTAGTTGTACCACTGGAGGTTTGCAATTCTGAACTTATCCTGACCACCAAATCCTAAACTTCTAAAGCACTTATTACTCATGACTCAACACTAATCTTGAATTTCATTTTCATATCTTTCTTCCTTCATCTTCGTTTCCAATTTACTACAGGATCTTTAAAGTTTCAATTACTGAACATCATTCTAGAATCTTTAGTGACCTTCATATTTATCCATCTTTAAGAGCATGAAAGCAAGTGAAAGATTACTAGCAGAGGCTTGGAGTTGGAATTTCATGGCAGTGGTGGGGAATACATAAGAAAAGCCACAGAGCAGGCGTGGTAGCTCACGCCTGTAATCCCACCACTTTGGGAGGCCAAGGTAGGCAGATCACGAGGTCAGGAGTTCAAGACCAGCCTGGCCAACATGGTGAAACCCCGTCTCTACTAAAAATACAAAAATTAACTGGGCACAGTGCCAAGCACCTGTAATACCAGCTACTCAGGAGGCTGAGGCAAGCGAATTGCTTGAACCCAGGAGGCAGAGGTTGCATTGAACTGAGATCAGAACAGTGCACTCTAGCCTTGATGACAGAGTGAGATTCCACCTCAAAATAAATAAAGTCACTTGATAGGGACTTGTGCAACGTTGTCTCAGATACACATGAAGTAAGATCGTAGGTATGGGCCGGGCACAGTGGTTTATGCCGATGATCCCAGCACTTGGGGGTCTGAGGCGTGTGGATCACCTGAGGTCAGGATTTTGAGACCAGCCTGACCAACATGGTGAAACCTTGTCTCTACTAAATAGAAAAATTAGCTGGGCGTGGTGGCGGGCACCTGTAATCCCAGCTACTCAGGAGGCTGAGACAGGAGAATCTCTTGAACCAGGGAGGAAGAGGTTGCAGTGAGCCAAGCTTGTGCTACTGTACTCCAGCCTGGGCAACAGAGCGAGATGCCATCTCAAAAAAAAAGATCTTATGTATGGAAAACTTTTTTTTTTTTTTTTGAGACAGAGTTTTGCTCTTTTTGCCCAAGCTGAAGTGCATTGGCACAATCTCGGCTCACTGCAACCTCTGCCTCCCAGGTGCTAGCGATTCTCCTGCTTCAGCCTCCCTAGTTAGTAGCTGGGATTACAAATGCCTGTTACCATGCCCAGCTAATTTTTATATTTTTAGTAGAGACGGAGTTTCAGTATGTTGGCCAGGCTGATCTTGAACTCCTGACCTCAGGCGATCCACCCACCTCAGCCTCCCAAAGTACTGGGATTACAAGCGTGAGCCACCACACCTGGCTGAAAAACATTTAAAAGCTTAGTAAAATGGAGATTAACATATGTTTTGGGGCCACAAGGAGAAATAAGTTGCATGGGCAAGAGAGGGCCAGACTAGTTCTTGACAGAAAATTCATTTAATTTGTATTGTAATACTGAGTCAGTATTAAGTATACCATGCAGGCGATGTACATCTGCTGCATTATACAACTACTATGGGAATTTAAATCAACATTTTTTGTTTTGACCCTAACAAGGAAGGAAGTAGAATAAGCAGAACTATCTTATAAGGAGGTAAAATATACAATGAGAATATATATAGGGCAAAGATGCTGGAGAGGTCAATTTTAGGAGTTATCATAAAAACCAAAACATTGGCCTTAAGAATGGAGGAGCTCTTATAGGCATTACAAAAAGGGCACAGAGCAGAAAGTAGGGCATGTCTATCTGTTGTTAATTATTTTTATTTTTTATTTTCATAAACATGAGTCTCACTGTTTCCCAGGCTGCATTGCAGTGGGGCAATCTTGGCTTACTGTAACCTCTGCTTCCTGGGTTCAAGAGATTCTCATGGCTGAGCTTCCCAAGTAGCTTGGAATACATAGGTATATGCCACCATGCCTGGCTAATTTGTGTATTTTTAGTAGAGACATCGTTTCATCATGTTGGCTAGGCTGGTTTCAAACTCATGGCCTCAAGTGATCCACCCACTTTGGCCTCCCAAAATGCCTGGATTACAGGGGTGAGCCACCACATCCGGCCAATCTCTTGTTAATTAATAGTCAACAAATATCTAGTGAGCAACTAATATGTAATATGCATTGATCCCGATACTCCCAACACTTCTGTGCATAAGTTAGAAAATACATGAGAAACATTTAAGGAGGCAAGATGAGATTGTCTTAGTGTTATCCAAATAAGGTGCAGTAGATTTTAGGGAGGATAAGCAGCGCTTTGTGGGAAGGATAAACACTATATAGCAGGAAGTAGCAACTCTGAAATGAAAGAATTGATGAGTGGCATAACAATTTCTAATCTGAGTTCAGAATTTAAAGAAAAAATGGGAAGTTAAAATTGGTGCCAAAATAACTGAGGTATTTTGTTAATAAAAGGAGTAATATATCATTTTAAAAAGTTATAATTCAGATTTACTAACACTTTATAGTTGCATACTCTAATGGCAGGGAGTAACTGGCAATTCTAGAGAAAAAGACAAAAATATTACAAGTGTAAGGAGGGATTAATGTTGGTCCACAGGAAGAAGTAGTAAATCTATTTAAAACATGTCTAGCAAAGGAGAGAATTTAAGTAGAGAGAACAAAAATTGGAGGTGTGACTTAGGTTTTCTACATGTGCAGATCAAGTGTCCTTAATCGCTTCTAAAACTATAGGACATTTATAAAGAGATTGCTGAGGCTGGGCGTGGTGGCACACTCCTGTAATCCCAGCACTTTGGGAGGCCAAGGTAGGAGGATCACCTGAGGTTGGGAGTTTGAGACCACCCTGACCAATGTGGAGAAACCCCATCTCTATTGAAAATACAAAATTAGCCAGGCATGGTGGTGCATGCCTTTTAATCCCAACTACTTAGGAGGCTGAAACAGGAGAATCACTTGAACCTGGGAGGTAGAGGTTGTGGTGAACTGAGAACACGCCATTGTACTCCAGCCTGGGCAACAAGAGCAAAACTCTGTCTCAGAAAAACAAAAAAAAACAAAAAAAAACACCACATTGCTGAAAAATATTACAGAAGGCAAGAGGCACCAACCACCTCAACAGTAACATGGGATAGAATTTCTTCTAACTCACCAGGGAGGCCCCGATGTGGAAATTCTACTTCTAACATCCATGGCTCTTTTCCTTGCTTCAACTTGAAGACCACATTTGGCTTATTCACACGGTAACCTATGAATGGAAAATATCAAGGAAATGATACAAATTGCTTGGAATTTAGGGACTGTGAAAGATGAGGAAGTGCAGTTTCAGGAGAATGATGAAGGTTCCAGTTAGACTTGGCAAATTTAGATTCTTTCAGTGGGGCAGGAGGGACACAATTTTTTTTCAAGTACCCAAAGTGGATTTATTAACTTGGACCTCTGAATCATAGCTAATGTCAATCATTCAACCCTATAGGGACCTCTTATACTCCAGCAACTGAGAAGGGAGATGCAGACTACTGGGAGTTACACCTGGGGAAGTTTCCTCACCCACTGAGACCAAGTGACTATAGTTTTCCAGCATCACATCTTTGTACAGGGTCCTCTGAGCAGGGGTCAGTAATTTCCATTCCTCCTTTGTGAATTCCACAATAACATCCTTTAATGTCACAGGTACCTGGAATAACATATTTCAGTTTAATCTGAAGTAACCAGAATAGAGTACCATTGAAAAGACACATGTGAGCTAGCTCTTAGTGTACTAATTGCAAAGTCACTCTGGAGAGTTAGGATATATGCCATGCTGTACCCTGCTTTATTTGTAGAGGAAATATTTGTTCAGTACATATTTGCTGAGTTCCCACTCCATGCCTGGAACTCTGCTGAACATACAAAGATGAAGAAAAAAATGAGTGTCATGTGCTGTATAATGACATTTCAGTTTACAGATTCCATATATGATGACAATCCTACAAGAAGATACTGTATCTTTATTGTCTGTTTTCTATGTTTAGATTCACAGATCCTTGTTGTGTTACAAATTGCCTACAGTGTTCAGTACAGTAACATACTATATAGGTTTGTAGCCTAGGAGCAATGGGCTATACCACATAGCCTAGGTGTGCAGTAGGCTGCACCATCTGGGCTCGTATAAGGACACTCTGTTTGCATGACAAGCTCACCTAATGATACCTTTCTCAGAACATATTCCCATCACTAGGTTTCACATGACTGTATTTTGTTATCAAGGAGCATAGGTTTTGCTGGGGAGACAAAGGTGAAAATGCTAAAATACAGTATGTGAACCAGGTGCCATGATAGAAACATGTACACAATACAAGACAGTCACAAATGGGGGTAGTTATTTGCATTTCGTATTGTCATGTTAGATTTTATTAGGTGGTCAAACTACCTAATGTAAACTTTAGGAATAAAGAAAACACAAGTGGCAAACGCATGAATGCATGAGAAATTGCAAGTTTAGGAAACCTTGTGATTTATGATATGAGAATAGAGCATAGGACCAAGATTAGTTAGAAGGTTACAATGCAGTCAAGGGACAGGACATGAAGAACTTCTGACCAGTAAAGTATATTTTGAATACTCATTTAATAACTACATTTCTGCTTATTAATACATTACACACATTTGCATCTATTAATGTTTATTAAGAATTAAGGGGGTGGGTGTGGTGGCTCATGCCTGTAACACCAGCTATTTGAGAGGGTGATATGGGAGAATCACATGAACCTGGGAGGTCGAGGCTGAAGTGAGACAGAGCAAGACTATCTAAAAAAAAGAAATTAGGCTGGGCATGATGGCCTACGCCTGTAATCCCACGACTTTCAGAACCAAAGTGGTGGATAACCTGAAGGCAGGAGTTTGAGACTAGCCTGGCCAACATGGCAAAACCCTGTCTCTACTAAAATTACAAAAATCAACTGAGCATGGTGGCACACACCTGTAGTCCCAGCTACTCAGGAGGGTGAGGCAGGATAATGGCTTGAACCTGGGAGGTGGAGGTTTTTGTTTATACAAAACATGAATAGATATTCTGCTATTTCATACTATGTGAAATGTTTTTTATATGTCTCTGGGATGCTCACCATTCACTGTGTAGAATAAAATACACCACCCTAAAGAGACATGTCAAGCAAGCACTGGAGTTATAGGGGTAAATGAGTGGTTTAGGAGAAAACTTTAATTTTTTTGAGATGGAGTCTCACTCTGTTGCCCAGGCTGGAGTGCATTGGTACAATCTTAGCTTACTGCAATCTCTGCCTCCTAGGTTCAAGCAGTTCTCTGCCTCAGCCTCCCAAGTAGCTTGGCTGATTTTTATATTTTTAGTAGTGATGGGGTTTCATCATCTTGGCCAGGTTGGTCTTGAACTCCTGACCTCATGATCCACCCACCTCGGCCTCCCAAAGTGCAGGGATTACAGGTGTGAGCCACCGCGCCTAGCCCTAGGAGAAAACTTTAAAGTAGAAGTGGCAAATGGCACACTAGAAAAATCAAACAAACATTTATATGAAAGCAACAGCAGTGGGTGAAAGTAGAACATGACTTTGTAATTAATTGGAAATTAGTTAATAACCACTGGGAGAAAGGGGGAGGGGAGCTCCCATAGTGTCTATAGATGCCTCGTTCATGGGTATAGTCATAGTGCCAATTATTTTCAATCCTTCACTTTTATGGAGAGAACTGTATAAGGCTATTAAATTTCCTGTAATTATTATATTATTTATAGTCCATGAAATTCAAAAGGCAGTATGTTTACTTGCAGAACATCTTGACTGGATATAAATTCTAGGTTCATTTTTTTTTGAGATGGAGTCTGGTTCTGTCTCTCAAGCTGGAGTGCAGTGGCATGATCTCGGCTCACTGCAACCTCTCCCTGTTGGGTTCAAACAATTCTCCTACATCAGCCTCCCAAGTAGCTTGGATTACAGGCACCCACCACCATGCCTGGCTAATTTTTTTTTTTTCAGACAGAGTCTCGCTCTTGTTGCCCAGGCTGGAGTGCAATGGCATGATTTCAGCTCACCGCAACCTCTGCCTCCTGGGTTCAAGCGATTCTCTTTGATCAGCCTCCTAAGTAGCTGGGATTACAAGCATGTGCCACCATGCCTGGTGAATTTTTGTATTTTTAGTAGAGATGGGGGTTTCTCCATTTTGGTCATGTTGGTCTCAGGTGATCCACCTGCCTCGGCCTCTCAAAGTTCTAGGATTATAGGTGTGGGCCTTCACGCCCGGCCAATTTTTATATTTTTAGTAGAGACGGGGTTTAACCATGTTAGCCAGGCTGGTCTGGAACTCCGGACCTCAGGTAATCTGCCCATCTCGGCCTCCCAAAGTGCTGGGATTACAAGCCTGAGCTACCATATCCAGACGATTCATATTTTTTTTACAAACCAACATTATTGTGTGGCAACCAGGAAGTTTGTAAATGAAAATGTCCAGGATAAGTTGGGCAGGAGTTAATGTGTTGAATTTTGTTTATGCTGTGCTTAAAGTGACTGTGGAACATAAAGCTGCACTTGTCCATTTTGGCAGATAAACATATGAGTAAGTTTCCATAAATAGAATTTTCAAATATTATAAAAATGGAGTTCCAGAAGAGCTCAAAAAAAGAAGCTGTGGGAACAGCAATATTTGAGATAATGGCAGGAGACCAGGCCCAGACCATGGAGCCTGAGAGAACTTCTCTAAACATAAGAGTAACCCAGGAGGAGTGTCTAGGAAACTAAAGAAAGGGAGACTCACAAATAAGGGACAGTTCTTGTTCAGATTCCAAATGTAGAGTCCAAATTAGCATAACCACATACCAGAACAGCAAAGGAGTGAAAGCTGTAATCAGTAAGCAGGCCTTTTGAGAAATTTTGGAAATATCTAGAATTCCTAAGACCAGATAAGAGAATCCAGCTCTTGGATACACATCCTAACAAAGAGCTCATACAAACTTCTATGCTCAGAATCAAAGGGTTGTGGTTTGGCAAGGACAGAAGGATGACTGATAGGAAAATTAATCAATGACTCCCCACTTCAACAACAACAACAACAACAACAAATACAAAGAGCATCCAGCACAAACCAAAAGCTGATGAAAGGACCCCACCACATAATGGCACATAATGGTACCAGGGGCAACTAGGCAACATGATTACTTAACCAGGATCCCTAAATGTCAGCACAATACAGACAAAACGATAAACACAAAATTGTACTATATACATAGACATTTTATTCTTTTGAAATACATCTGTGTTTTTTTAAAGCAACACTTCTATTTCTGTGAAAACATATAATGACTAGTTTCTTAGACGACAGCAATTCTGTTTCAGCAATTAAGACATTACCTAAGAGAATAAGGACAAAACTGACATATGACTTTTCATATGTAGAACCAAATGTTAAAAGACGAGGAAAAAAATACCCAAAAAGGATAAAGGTTTTGAGCCTAGAATTCCATGCCCTGCCAAATTTTTCATTCGAGGATAAGAAAGAAAAATGTTTTCATAAATACAAACATGTTAAAAGCATACAAATGATGCACCAACTTTGCGAGGCATTCTAGAATATACTTAATAGAAACTACAAAAAAAAAAAAAAATCACATGGCAAATTAGATATAAAAGCTAACCAGGGCCGGGCACGGTGGCTCACACCTGTAATCCCAGAACTTTGGGGGGCCGAAGCGGGCAGATCACCTGAGGTTGGGAGTTCGAGACCAGCCTGACCAACATGGAGAAACCCTGTCTCTACTAAAAATACAAAATTAGCCAGACACGGTGGCACATGCCTGTAATCCCAGCTACTCAGGAGGCTGAGGCAGGAGAATTGCTTGAACCCGGGAGGCGGAGGTTGTGGCGAGCCGAGATCACACCATTGCACTCCAGCCTGGGCAACAAGAGTGAAACTCTGTCTCAAAAGAAAATAAAAAAGCTAACCAGATACACGATAATAACTTATTTCTCACATAGCGATAACAGAACACTATAAAGTGGAGTGATTACAGAAGTGAGCAGGAAAAGACTATTTTGTATACTAAATTATCTTTCAAAGATGCTTACAAATATGTTAACAAAATGCTCACATCTTTTCATGAAATATTCACTGAAAGACCATTTTTTGGGCCAGAAAAATAAACTAACAGAATTGAAAGCATACCAAATATATTCTCTGACCACAATAGACAAACTAGAAATCAATAACACAAAGTTATCTGGATTATCAAATATTTGAAAATAATAGGTGAACATTTTATTTAATGTTATTGGAAAATAACATTTGAATTTGGTTCTCTGAAAAAACTAAGAAAGTTGATAAACCTATATTCAGAATGACCAAGAAAAAAAATACACATTAACAATATAAGAAATGAAAAAGGGGATAGTTACTAAAGGCCCTACAAACATTAAAAGGGTAATAAGAGAATACTACAAAATAGTCTATATGCATAAATTTGACAACTTAGATGAAATGGATTAATTCCTTGAAAGAGGATAACTACCAAAACTCAGGGAGAAATATCTAAGCTAAATAATCTTAGTGTCTTTTATATTAAATAAACTGAATCTGTAGTTAAAAACCTTTTAATATGAATGACTTCGCAAGAAACGGTGACTTAGGAGCTCTAAGAATTGGTTCCTCCACAGAGGCAACCATTAAAGCTGACAA